CCTGACTGTTATAAACTATTGTGGTTTATTTATCTAAATTTAAAACATGTTTTCTCCTCAAGGCTGTCTCCGTGATAGTAATTGTTTTATGCCGTTGCGATCTATAGAGATGTCATGAAAGACTATTAATTATTCAGAGACATGAAACTCCCCCATTAGATGGAATGTCCTTCGGAAAGTACTTTAGATTTTAGATTATGAAAAATTATTTTATTCCAGTAAATATTTTAAAAATTTCACTACCTGTGAAAAATGGTCATATGTGGCTATTAGACTAGGCCAAAGAAATGAACTATTTTTTTTTTTTTTTTTTTTTTTCAAACGTACCTAAATTATTATTCGGGGTAACAGAAAAATATATTGTCAAAGTTTGATCCCTTAATTATTACAATACTAAGAGATTCTATTATCATTTTTGATTTTTTTCTGAACGTTTTTCATATAACGAGGTCTCGAGCATTTGAAATTTTTTTATTAATAAAAAAACTCAATAATTTTCGGAGATTAATTAAGTTTTTGAAAGGAAATTGTTCGCTCTGATATTCTACATCGCAACTCATTTTTGCTTAACATTTAAATAATTAAAATTTTTGCACGCCTCACAGCGCGAAGTGCGTGAGGTTGTGCTTTATACTCGACTCGTCAAGGTCAAGGAATTTTGTGATCTTTGAATGCCTCTATCACAACCATATAACACTTATACAATAATATAAGTAAATATACGCCGAGAAAACACTTAAACTAAACCATCTTTTACTTTCTAAAATCATTTCTTGTTGTTATATTGAAAAAAAAAAAAACGTTTTGAAAAAAATTTTACGTGGACGTCCGGATGTCACCCCATTTTGGATGTACCAATGATTACTCCCGAACAAATTGATATTTCAAGACCAGACCTTTTTTATTAGTTTAAGAATGCGATGAACTGGGTCCGTATTTCATATCAGTAGCCTAGGTTACGTATTTTTTTTTCAAATTGAATTTTCATTAAAATTTACTACGGTACAACCGTACAAAGACAAACGAACGTTTCTTATTTGTCACGTGAAAACTATCGCACCACTTGATCAAGCTAGATTTTTTCAGACTGCGTGCGCAAATGACAAGGAAAAAAGACGCCGATATTCAAAAAAAAAAATAAAAAATACTCTGTAAGAAATTACTTAATCGTAATTTTTTTTTTAAATCAATTACACAATTAATTTTTTTCTTAAAAAATGAATGAGCGTTATGAGGCGTGCACTTTTAGGTTTTCCAAACTTAATAATTTTAATCTTAAAATTGAATTAATTTTTTTTCGAATCTTTTTGAGGTAGTCTTTCTTAATTTAAAGAATCAACTCGCGAATCAATAAATGAAAACTCTTAGAAGGGTGTAAAGTACCAAAAGAATTTAACTCCAACGAAGTTTTGTTCGGAGAGAGACACATCTTTGTTTTTGTATTTGGCTATAGTGATTAAAAACAATGTGAATATGGCTTGCATATTCCAATAATTAAATTTTTAATTAAATATAAATGAAGAAAGGGGAAAATTAATTAAATAATATATGCGTATGTTCCGCTATTATCGTAGAATTTTTTTCATTGTCTACACTATGCAGGTGGCGGTATTCTTCCCCTATTCTATGCGTAATTGTATATAAGGATTAATTAGCTTGTAAAGACAAAAGCAGTTTTTTTTATGACTGATATAATAATTTATTAATATATGAAAGCCTATATGTATAATATATCTTTATTTGTATTCAATATTAATAATGATATATATTGAGCATAATTGGTTCATAGTATGTTATTGCACAATTGTGAGCTTTAACATTCAATTTCTGTCATTGAATGTATGCAATTAGTTGATTGACCGACGGTTAGTGACAGTAACAATTATCTGCAGTTAAATGTACCGGATAATTGATAATTACACGTTTAATGACATTGAAATCAAGTATTAAGGTTGACTATTACGTAAGAGCTTTCACTTAATGCTCTAAAGTTGTTAGAAAAACTTGTTTAAGCAAGTTCTACATTTCTCGCTACATGGTTGTTATGAATAAAAATAATAATAATAAAACTTATAAAACAATTGAAATTAAAAACGCTTTCGATTAAAAAAAGTTTGAAGAGTCGCTAGTATGCTAATAATACAAATCAATACTCTAACCACTTTACGCTATGCAGTAAAAGATTGAATGAAAAACCACAGTTTGCATTAATCAATCCATTGAAACACTCGTATTAATTAAAACTCAGAACTATAATAGCGTTAATTATCATATGCCGCAATCAAATTAACGTATTCATTAAATTTAATTAAAGTAAGTTTTGTTAGCCAGTAAACTGCTTAACAAAACAAACTCTCTCATATTTATCTACATTATATTGTATATTCTCTAAAACATCGCATGTTTATATTTCATTGTCATTCCAAGTAGCCTTTAGTATGCTGCTATATATCCATTTATTTACATAGTAACAGTAACGATAAAAATATATCGACGATACAACCACCAAATGTCTTAACCCTCACAGTTCCAGAAATTGATTTCACGTTGCAGTTGACTATTTTATTTGTTTTTTTTATTAAATCTGTTTTATGATAAAGATGAACGATATTGAAAATAATTTTATAATTCCGTGTTGTTTAATGATATTAAATATAGAAAAAAATGAACTGAAACTGATGTCAATAAAAATCCGATTACTTTTAACTTTTTTTTAAAAAATTTATTTTTTAGGCATCATCTGATAAAATGCATTTTTTAATTTCAATTTTTTATATGAGCATTTTATAAAAATATTTTTCGCGCGAAAATTAATATACTTAAATGGAAGCTCATAGGGTAAATGCACCAATTATTGACCGATTAAGGTTTTCTTTTTCTGTACTAAGCTATAAAAAATCTATTAACCTACTAAAAACAATTTGTAATGGATTTTATTAAAGGTAAATACTTAATTAATAATAATTAATAACTATTTATAATAAAAATTAACAAAATTATATTAATTTTGTTATTTGAATCTTGAAATACTAAAATCACCAATTATTGCAGCGGACGCTGACATCAGTTTTGTGTCCCCCACTATGCCTTACGCACCCAGCGAATAAAAAATCTATTAACCTACTAAAAACAATTTGTCATGGATTTTATTAAAGTTAAATACTTATTTAATAATAATTAATAACTATTTATAATAAAAATTGACAAAATTATATTAATTTTGTTATTTGAATCTTGAAATTTTTAAATCACCAATTATTGACCGAAGAAACCCAATTAATGACCGACCGTTCTCCAATTAATTGACCGTTGAAATAATTATAAGTAATTTTGTAAACTATATGTATGTAATTAAATTTATGCAGTACTTTTAAAGTATTAACGACATCTTTAACCAAACTAAACATACAATATAATTTTAAATCGTACTTTTTTATAAAATAATATAAGTGATAGCAATAATTAACATAAAGTCACATTTTTTTAGGTCACAAATAATCACAAATTTATTTTGATGACGATAATTCTTCTGATTCACTTGAAATTTTTTTATTCTTTTCCTTCTTTTTTTTAATTAAAGCTTTTTTACTAGCTTGTAACTCTTTTTTTTTTATTTTTTTAATTGCTTAGCAATTTTTTTTTTCTAATAATTCGTTCTTTGATATAACTGTTCACTAAAAAAATTAGAACAAAATAAAATTTAATACTCAAAAAAGATTTTAAGTATTATTTTAGTTATAAATATACATTTTATAATGATTGTTTTTATATTTACAAAATATTGAATGATTAAAGTACTTTAAGCACTTGACAGATTTAATTTTGAGGAAGTTAAGAAGTTAGTATTATAAATATACGGTCATTAATTGGATTGTGATAAAATCAGAGGGTCTAATAAATGACCGAATGAATTTTTGACTGGGTAAAGGGCTTCTGACGGATCCAATTGTTGACCGGTCTTAAAATAATATTAAAACTTATAATTTAACTTTATTTTTTCAATAAAGTTGGAATCTGATCTTTAGTTAACATAATAAAACGAAAATATTTTATATTATGTCGATAAATATCACTAAATTAATGATGAAATGCACTCACTCTCCAATTGTACGCTAGTTATTTTTGACCGCTTTATGGCTGGTTGCGTTGTAAACAAACTCAGAATATTTTTTTAAAGCTATAATCACTGCGCAATTAATTGCGTAATTTTTTATTATGATGATTAAATATCATATTTTTTTATTTTTATATTTTAAGAAAAAAAACCCTTGTAAAATATTAATTAATTAACTTTTTTATACATCGGTCAAATAATTGGTGACCGGTCAACAACTGGTGCATTTACCCTAATTGTCAAATTTTTTTTAAATTAATAAAAAATTACTTCTCTATATTTCTTCAATACAAATTGTTAAATTTTTTTACACGCATGTCAGCTGATCACCCACAGTTTTAATAAAAAAAATGTCGCAAAATATTTCAATCACAACTTACGTAACGATTTATTTGATTATTTATACTTTCCAAGCATTCAAATTTTTGAATTTGTGTTAATTTTTTTTCGTCTTTTAATTAATAAGTTATTGATGTTAATAAATTTCCTTTTAATTATTTTTGACAATAGAAATAAATAACGTCAGACTCTAGTATATAAAATATATTTTACTAGAATAAAATGAAGTGAAATGAATAACGTTAGGACATTTGGTAGGTGTATCATGAAACTACTATGACTAAATATACAGAGGCATGCGAATTGTTATTGATTTTTTCATCTGGATGGCCACCGACACACGCTTTCATTGCGGGTAGATGATTTCCGGTAGAACAGACAATTAATCGGAAGTCACACCCTTGTCATGCTGCATCCATTTGTTCATTATTACTCTTATTATTAAATGACAAGCTGGCGCAAGTGTACAGTTATAAACAAGTGACAATTGTGTGGTTAGATTAATACATTTATGTACTTAACGCACAGTCAAAGTTACAAATAAAATATGAAAATGATGAGTGTATGTACATAATAATAGGCGTGTACTTGATTCACTTGCGCCAGCTTGACTGACACGAATTGTCACGATCTCTCGTTTATGATGCCTGTTGATGTTGGTGCAAGGGGCAGGAAATACCAATATACATTTGGTACGAGTCGTATCCAACCCACAGTGGAGAGGGATATGAAGGACGAGTCTCTAGGGTCAGTCCAAACTCACCTTACGGATCCGCAAGTCTCAACCTCACCAATATACAAGAAAATGATCAAGGATGGTACGAGTGTAAGGTTGTCTTCCTCAATAGGTCACCCAATAGTCCCAAAAATGGAACTTGGTTTCATTTGGATGTTCATGGTAAATTCATATTTTTTTACTATTATCTATATTATTAAAGGAATAAGTGAAATTTTGTGGCTAGTGTATTTATATGATAAAATGGGTTTTTATGGTTAAATTTAGTATCATAAGAAAGGTCTTGACCTGGAGTTGTGCCTTTTCAAGGTTTCATATCATTCTCAACAATAGTCAATTTATTATGACAAATATTTAGGCTGCATTCGAAATTGCTCTATCTCTAGATACATAGTTAAGGAGTGAAATACGTGTAGGAGGCCCTTTTCATGCTGATTTTCATTAATTTTTTTAAGGTATAACAAATTAATATTATTTATTGAAACTATCAGGTTATTTTATACATATATTTATGAGTATTTTTTTGTATTAAATCAATGGCACAGAATAATTACTTCATTTATATGTGTATCTTCCATATGAACCTCAATTCCAAAAAAAAAAAAGTAAAAATTTGCATTTTTTAGAGGGCTGTGAAATTAAGTCGTGATTTTTTACCACTTTTTCATACATTGTTTAATAAAAAAAAAAATAGTTTAAATAAAAATATCGTTTCCGATTGAGATTCATATTCAAGGTAATTGTATAAAGAAAATTATAAGCCATATCGCAAGATGATTGGTTTAAAACTCTTTGAGCTAGACTGCACACAATTTTGAATAAACTCGTTTTGAGAAAAACGCATTTGAAAAAAAAGTGACAGAAAAAGTTAATGTAAAATAGTATTAAAGTAATAACTAAATCGGTTATTTGAACGAATAGGAATTTTTACTTGAAATTTTTAATATATATTTTTGAATAGTTTTACAAGCGATTGATAAAAAAAAATTGAATTTTTTTAAGCCTGTACACGTATTTCCCCCCTTAAGAAATGACCCTGTATCTTGTGAACTATTGACATTTTTAAAGATATAAGCTTATCCCTATGTTATACTCATCAAGACCGTTCATTGAAGTATTCACATCATTTTTCTATATATTTGTATGTATTATATATATGTATTAGGGTGGTGCAAAAAAACCGACTATTTTTTTTTGGATTCTCGAGTGAAAAAATGTTAGTTTTTGATGTTTTAAGAGCCCTCACCAAAGGACAGCTCAAAAAAAAATTTTTAAGAGGTCACTCCAAATTTTTCAAAATTTCAAAAATCGTCAAAAATCAAATTTTTTTTTTTTAAATTTTTTTTCTCGTAACGGTATAATTTTATAGACTAAAAAAACTAAGTTTACTGTAAATTTACAGTTTCAAAATTCGAATTTTGAAAGGTTCGATCATAATTTTTTACTAATTTTATTAGTTGTCATTAGTTTAGTATTTTTTCGAGTCAAACTCACAAACAAAGTCTTAATATGAAAACTGTTATCACAACGCAGCTATAAATTATATATATTAGGGTGGCGCAAAAAACCGACTATTTTTTTTTTTTTTTGTCTCGAGTGAAAAAATGTTAGTTTTTGATGTTTTAAGAACCCTCACCAAAAGGACAGCTCAAAAAAAAAATTTTTAAGAGGTTACTTTAAATTTTTCAAAATTTCAAAAATCGAATTTTTTTTTTTTTTTTTTTATTTTTTTTCTCGTTACGGTATAATCTTATAGACTAAAAAAAATAAGTTTCTGGAAATTTCAGTTCAAAATTCGAATTTTGAAGGGTCGCTCATAATTTTTTTCAATTTATTAGTGCATTAGTTTAGATTTTTTCGAGCGACCTTTTACTATTTAAATTAAAATTCCATGCATTTTTTTTTTCATTTAGTACAATAATCGATAAGAATACATCACGAGATGAACTAAAAATCAAGCACAACATAGAAAATATAATTTTTTTTAATTTAATAATTTTATTTAATCAACTGCCAGGCGTGAATTCGAATCCCAAGCTGGTCTTAGAAACCAGCTTGGTTGAGATTTGACCTTGCCGCGTAGGTTAAGATTTTTTCAAACCAAAAAGACCCCAACGTACCACTCCCAACACTTAAAGTCGGCGAAATGACTAATTAACGAAAAATAAAAAAAATTATGAGCGACCTTTCAAAATTTAAATTTTGAACTGAAACTTTCAGAAACTTATTTTTTTTTTGGTCTTTAAAATTATACCGTAACGAGAAAAAAAATTAAAAAAAAAAAAATCGATTTTTGACAATTTTTGAAATTTTGAAAAATTTGGAGTGACCTTTTAAAAATTTTTTTTTCAGCTGTCCTTTGGTGAGGGCTCTTAAAACATCAAAAACTAATATTTTTTCACTCGAGACTCAAAAAAAAAAAATAGTCGGTTTTTTTTTGCGCCACCCTAATATGTATATATGATAAATATATAAAAATGCATGTGGGTACTCAAATAAAAGCTTTTGATGAGTGTAACATCGGGATGAGCTTATATCTTTAAAAACGTCAATAAAAGGCATTATTTAATAAAGCAAAATTTTATTTATTTATAGTTCACAAGTCACAGCAGTCACATAATACTGCAAGGTTGCTAGTCGTTATTATTATTGTATTGAAACTAAGAAACACCAGACAATTTTTAACAATTTTTAAAAACAATAAATTAATTATTATTAAAAAAAAAAGTTAGGAAAAAATATTCGCTTAAAGAAATTTACTGTATCAAGTGTTTAATTTTCTCTAAATATCTTCTTATTGCTGATTTATTTGAAAAAAAAAAAAAATATTTTCTTCTGCCTCAGAATAAAAATTTTAATCTTGTAAATAATAATTTTGACTAAGATTTTTATCAAAAACTTCAATGTAGAATAAATCCATATTTTGTTTTTATTTTTGTTGTCGTTTCAATATTGAATTTTTCTATTGAACATTTGAAACATTCATTGTATAAAAAATGTTGGAGAACCCACGTATTTATTTTGTTTACATGGATTCAGAAATAATTAAAATATTTATATTAACTCACTTAAAAATTCCAACAAATTTTCACTTGACTATAGTATTTTACAATTCAATTCTTTAATATAATTTTTAACATGTTAATTAATTTCTTTTCATGAAAAATAATTCAAGAAAACTTTTTTATTAAAAATTGATCATTAAATATTTAATATGAATTTCGTTTCAAGTAATTACTTGAATAAAATAAACAGATTGTCTGTGAATGAATTCAAAAGCTTGATAAATTATATTATTCTAGCACCACCAAGATTCACGATGACTCCCGAAGAGATGATCTACGTTAATCTAGGGGATGCAATTATATTAAATTGCCAAGCAGAGGGCACACCGACACCGGAAATAGTTTGGTACAAGGACGCCAATCCAGTAGCGACTTCAAGTACCATTGGAATTTTTAATGAGGGTACAGAGCTACGGATTGCATCAATAAAAAATGATGATATTGGTGACTATACGTGTATTGCTAGAAATGGAGAGGGCCAAATCAGTCACTCTGCTCGTGTAGTAATTGCTGGTAAGTAAACATTTATTATAAACTTAAGATATGCCAATTGTAAATAACAATAGTAATAATAATAAACTAATCTACCATTATTTATAAAGTTTTTATTTTCGTTGGCTTCAATATCGTTAATACAAGTTACTAATTTGAAAGTGTAATTACGCTTGTTACTGTAAGCAAAACTATTTATCAAAGTTTCGCGATGGTTATTGCTATTCCGTAATAGTAACACATTCGTCAGAATAACGAGTTACGTTTTCGAGTTTCACTTTTTTATTTTTGTTTGAACTACGTTGGGATTAAATTTTTTTATGGTTAATAGGACAGTTCACTCGTGACGTTCGTAGCTGGAAGTATAGTGTCATAATAACAAGCATAGAAATCTAAAGTTAGAACCTTGACTAGCAAAAATTTTTTATTTTTATCGGAGATGTATTCAACATAAACTTTTGATATATACAAACATACACGTTTATCATCTTGTGGATAAAAATAGGTAACACAAATAAAACATTGTTAAAATAAATATAATTGATAGCTTGGGTTAAATTAATATAATACAATATTTATCTACTCAGAGAAAAAAATGTTATATTTAAAGAAAAATTAATTAAATAAATATTTCAATTTATTACATGCCAAGAAAAAATTATCTTGATAGTAAAAGGATTTTTTGATTTAAGAATAATATAATTTGAATTAAGTAATTATAATTTCTAATATTTAATGAATTAAAATTTAAGTAAAGTATGAATATACTTCCAGCACGTAAAATATATATTATTCTTAGTGTTATTATTCTTCTTGCACTGTTTTCTCGCAATTCAATTCTTTATTCCAGTTTTAAAAGTAAATATTAACTTCAAAAGAAATAAAAACTTTAATCAGACAACCTGAGGATTTTTCTTCAAGTTTCATATTATTTAGATATATTAATATTGTTAAAAGTAGTTGACAATAAGATGTATCAAGTGGAAGAAGTACACAGAAAAAAAAAGTTCACTTGAGCCAAGAAAATATTTCTTTTCCTAATTATTTTCTCGTTTCTGCGCGTCATTATGCCCGAGGCTTCGCCTCGGGCATAATGACGCGCAGGGCCGAAAATTCAATTTTCGGACCCTTGTAGTGTAATATACTATTCTCAGCTGAAATAGGAGGCGCTGCTTCCCTAAAGTATCTAAAAATCTGGTTGCACCACGAAATCTCCCCGGACAAAATCTCCCCGACAAAATACGCTTCAAAATCTCGTTGTGCCCTTTTATCATGATTTTTTGTGTATATTTACACGAAAAATACCATCATAACTATCAGGAATAATAATATTATTATTTAAAATTATTTAAAATTAGATTTTGTCGGGGAGATTTTGTCGTGTCACCAAAAATCTTGATCAAATATAAAAATTTATTGTATCAAGTATTTATGATAATTTGAGTTAAGAAAAAATGACTTCCACCAAGAATAGAATTTCAAGAAAAATTTTTACTTCGGTCAACACAACTTCGGTCTTCCTTCAGGCACCCGAAAATTTACTTGAGCCAAGAATTTTATTCTCCCGTCAAGAAATTTTTCTTTCTGTGTATCGAATTTAACTATTTAATGACAATTAATTATTCTGTGTATTCCGCTCTGTCTAAGAAAACTTTGGACTACTTCTCGCCAACTATCTATTAAAGTGGAACTATTTACTGTCGCTAAAATTTGTTTTACTACAATTAAAAATATATGAAGAAAAAAAGAGTGAAGATTATTGTAAGAAAATTTGGAAAATCCAAAAGTGCAGGCTTCACAGAGCTCATTTAATTGTTAAGGAAAAACAATTCGTCTTAACAATTAAGCAAATTTGACTTAGTTTTAGATCAGTAAAGATTACTCATTTCAAATATCAATTACTTAAATACATGAAAGTTCTTCAATGAACTTAATCTTTTTTCATCGCATAGAACAGTCAATTATTTACAAATCGAATTTAGAGAACGTCGATAATAATTTTAATAGAATTAATAAAAAAATTGGATTCGCGAGTGAACTACTTTAAACTGATACCTTACTTAATCCTATTTAATTATACCCGCTACTGAATTTAATGATATTATACTGCAATACATTATATTAACAAAAATTACAGGAGGAGCAATAATAATAGTACCGCCGACGAATCAAACAAAGTTGGAAGGAGAAAAAGCACAGTTTTCTTGCGAAGCAAAAGCTCTCCCGGGGAACGTAACCGTTCGTTGGTTTCGAGAAGGAGCACCTGTTACAGAGGTATCTGCATTAGACACTCGAGTATCTATCCGCATGGATGGAAGTCTAGTCATCAATCCAGTGAGTGCCGACGACTCTGGTTTTTACCTTTGCGAGGTAACTAATGGAATCGGGGAACCCCAGAGTGCTACCGCCTATCTTAATGTTGAATGTAAGTGTTCTTTATTTATTTATTTGGTAAATATCAAATCAACTTTTATTTTCAATTTTACAGTTTACGAGCAAACTTTTCACATTTAAGTGGTCATAACTCTATAGCTATTAATAATTCTTGATCTTTTGCTGATACAAAATTTATAGAAATTTTAGTGTATTTGACATTAGATTATTATAGAAATTGCTGGATTTTTATAGCCGCGTAAATGCGCGCGTTTTAGAGTCTCGAACATCCTTTATTTAAAATGTTATACAGCAATAAATTTTTCTTCTGTAAATATTTTATGGTCCCACATCACAAGGTTTAAATTATACAAAAACAAATTGAGTTTTTACGCCCTGCAAGCTTTTGGTGCAATTACGTTAAAAGTGCTCCGATGAATTTCAATTTTTGATTAATTAATTTCTCTTAAATTGTTATCATACTCTTTGTGGTAATTTCAATTTTATTCAAAATCATTGTAACGTTAATAAATTTAAATATTCACCGCTTTTAAATACTTTGATCAAATATTTAAAAGAATTATTGAATTGGAAAAATGAAAACTGTGTGCCTCATAGTGTTCATTTGATTTTTAATAAAAAATACATTTTATTTGAGTGAAATTAAACAAAAGAAATTTTATTATTGTTCATAGAAAAATGATAAAAACTATTCAATAATGGAAATAACCAGTTATAACTTATGACAAAAGTTAATTATCGGAAAGTTAAGGCTATCTTTAATTAAAATTTTTTATCAATTATTAATTATTAATAAATTGAAAAATATGACAAAATGGATATTTAATAGACAGCAGATGTCTTCCATACATCCACATATAATAAAAAAAAATATCAGCTCAATTAATGAAGTCATTCGAGCATCATGTCACCGTAATTATATCCGTACATTTAAACTACAGATTAATTGATGTCCACGATAAAATTTTTTAATTGGATTTTTTTGTATAATTATCTCGACTCAAGAATTCGTTTTAAGATCAAGCTTATGAATTGAATTGTTTTTTTTTTATAACACGATGCTTTTTATAGAATATTAGAGCAATATAACAATAGCAGAAATAATTTAAGACAAGTACGTTTCATGATTTTCAATTTGTAACAATAATTATTGTGCTTTAAAGCACGGTATTTTTTAAGCGTGAGACTTTAATTTAAAATACAATTGTTACTGGTGATGAATATTTTTTTATGAACTGTATATTAATTCAATTTTCTCATCAAAACTGATGCATTGAAAAAAAAAATTAATTTGACTCAAACAAAAAAGTTCTTGAAACAAGAAATTTTTTTGAGTTTAAATAATTTTACTTGGCTCAAAAATTTTGCTACTTAATTTAAAGTAATAAAAATTCTTTAGAATAATTTTTTTGGTTCAATAGTTCCTCTCTTTAATTAAGTTCATTATTTTATCAATGTATGACCTTTGAGGTAGGCTTTTCCGGAAAAAAAAATGTTTTGTATCTTTGTACGCAAAGAAAATTTGTTTAACACAGTCCGGTTATTTTTCTCATGAATTCGACAGTAAATTTTAAAGAAAATTTCTTTTGGTGTAATGAAAACTTTGAGAGATTGCGGTGAGTATCAATAAAGTTAACTATCAAAAATCGCAGCAATAGAAAAAGTATCAATGTTTCGAGGTTACTCCATAAGACCAATGTTAAATTTCTCAACTTCAAAGTGAAATATTTATTTAAATAATCGGGCAGTCTCCTTCAAATTTTCAGAATTTATTTAAACATATTTAAACTTCATATTAAAAAAAAGTTAAGCTTTTCATCAAAAGTTACCTTGGTGCTCGTACTTCCTTAAAAAAATGTTTAATTGCGATATCTTTTGATCGAACCAATAATTTTGATGGGGCTTGCAGCAGTTGATGCAGATTTTCTAGAACAAAAAGATTATTTATTACCTACCAAACGATTCGACGTAAAATTTTGAAGTTATATGTTAAAAAAACACTTTTTAGGAATTATTAAAAATTAAATAACTCACGAACAAATTGACCGATTTCCATGAGATTGGCGATGTCTGACCCAGTTTTCTGAGCTCTAATAGGTATCTTAATTAAAAACAATTTAATAAAAAATTTCGAAGTTATTTGAAAAAAACATTTTCGAAATCTTCGTTAACAGTTTCTCTTTAACGCATCAACCGACTTTGATGCACCTTGTAGCAATCGACGTAGGGTTTCAGGTTTAAGAGCTGATTAAATTTTTGAATTGATCGTTACATCTATTTAAAAGTTATTCCAAAAAAACATTTTTGAAAATTTTATCTTTGAGATTTCTCAAAATCTATTAGTCTAAATGGGTTCAAATGACATAGAAAATCTAAGTTTTGTGAAGCCTTTTCGAATGCTACTGAGATCGTTCAAATCGGTCAAGTCATTCAAAAGTTATTAGAGGGTTACATACATTCATATACACACACACACACACACATACAGACATAGTGACATCCTCGTAGGAATGGTTAAAATAGCCTCCTAAGACCTCAAAACATGGAGATCTGATGAAAACTCAATTTTCAAAAACCGAGGAGAAACCAATAACTTCTCGATTGTTTGATAATGATTGATTTTTATAGCGAGAAGTTTAAAATTTATTTGATTTAAATCTTGGACCAAGAAAATTCTTTTGAAAAATGCAACTCTATTTGATTAATTAGAAAAATTCTTGAATTAAGTGAAATTTCTTTAAATCAAGAAACGTTTTTTAGTTCAAAAATGGTTCTGCTTGATTCAAGGTTCAAGGTTTGGTCTTCTGAATCAAATTAATATTTTCATAGATGCATATAATAATTTTTTTATCTTAATTTGCTCAGAATTGATTAAACTAGAAAATGTAATTCAAAACGCATTTTGTTAACGTTAATATATTTAATATTCCTTAATTTTTACTCGCCCAAAAATTTCGTTTTTTTTTTTATAAAAAATATACAAATTTCTGACTTCTATTCATCACTGATAAATGAAAGCGGTAAAAGTTTTTCTTTCTATCAATTTTGAGTGTCAATAAATAATAATTATTTTCATCTTCAAGCATAATTTTGTTAAAACTGCGGTCGTTATCTTAGAACTAAGTATTCAAAAAATATTAAGCGTTCTAAGGAACAGGCGGTCGATGCGAAACGTCTGAGTTTCTTGATAGCTAATAAATGTAAATTTTATGTATAAAGTTGTGAATCATCATTATCATACTGAACAGTCTAAAGATGACTGAATTTATACAGTTGCTGATGATAATTAAACACATTGTGTAGAACAATAGAAACTAATATTGCGCCCTGACTTAATTTCCCTCATAAATAATCTAATAATTTATTTTTGTTTTTAAGATCCTGCAAAGGTGACTTTTACGCCTACAATCCAATTCTTACCGTTCCGATTGGCTGGTGTCGTTCAATGTTATATTAAAGCAAACCCTCCTCTACAATACGTGACATGGACCAAAGATAAACGTCTTCTTGAACCTTATCAGACTAAGGATATCGTTATAATGAATAATGGTTCTCTACTTTTTACTCGCGTTAACGAAAATCATCAGGGAAAGTACACATGTACGCCTTATAATGCTCATGGAACACAAGGTGGATCAGGACCTATGGAGGTTTTAGTGAGAAATCCCCCGGTATTTACATTGGAGCCCGAACCGATGTATCAAAGGAAAATCGGTGAAAATGTTGAAATGGCTTGTGATGCTCAAGAAGCTGAAGGAACAGAAAAGCCAACGATTCAATGGCAAAGGGTTCGTAAAAAAAAATATTTTCAGTTTTTTTTTTTTTTCATTTTTTATACTTGAGTTAAGGTAAAGTACACAGTAGTTGAACAGATTTCAAAGTAAAACGTATTCGACACCACTTTTAATATATAAAGATTAGGGTGGCGCAAAAAAACCGACTATTTTTTTTTTGAGTCTCGAGTGAAAAAATGTTAATTTTTGATGTTTTAAGCCCTCACCAAAGGACAGGTCAAAAAAAAATTTTTAAGAGGTACTCCAAATTTTTCAAAAATTTTTTTCAATTTATTAGTGCATTCGTTTAGATTTTTTCGAGCGATCTTTCACTATTCAAATTAAAATTCCATGCATTTTTTTTTTATTTAGTACTATAATCGATAAGAATACATCACGAGATGAACTAAAAATCAAGCACAACATAGAAAATATAATTTTTTTTTAATTTAATAATTTTATTTAATCAACTGCCAGGCGTGAATTCGAATCCCAAGCTGGTCTTAGAAACCAGCTTGGTTGAGATTTGACCTTGCCGCGTAGGTTAAGATTTTTTCAAACCAAAAAGACCCCAACATACCACTCCCAACACTTAAAGTCGGCAATATGACTGATTAAAGAAAAAAAAAATTATGAGCGACCTTTCAAAATTTAAATTTTGAACTGAAACTTTCAGAAACTTATTGTTTTTTGGTCTATAAAATTATACCGTAACGAGAAAAAAAAATAAAAAAAAAAAAATTCGATTTTTGACAATTTTTGAAATTTTGAAAAATTTGGAGTGACCTCTTAAAAAATTTTTTTTAGCTGTCCTTTGGTGAGGACTCTTAAAACATCAAAAACTAACATTTTTTCACTCGAGACTAAAAAAAAAAAAAAAATAGTCGGTTTTTTTGCACCACCCTAATATATAGTCATAAAAAAAAATAACAACTTAAGATTTTTGTACTTAAAACTAATGTAATTGCTTCTGGAAATAATATTTGTCCATCTATTGGGGTATTTACCCTAGTTAGACGCTAAAATTTAATATAAAAATTATAGTTTATGTCTTTGCAAAAAATATGTATTATTTAAAAAAGACTTTTTCATTGGATGGTACAATTTTTCTTACTTAAAATAATGATACACCGTTTGTTTTACTGATTGTTCGGTTTGCGGTTTACCTTTTTCATGAAAAAAATAGCATCTATCGGCTATTCTCGACATGTCAACTTTTAAGTTAACAAA